CACGAGTATCATTACTCGATCTTCGTTGAGGTCGGGTAAGGATACGAGTGATCCCTAATGTTTTAGCACGTTCCGTGAGATGACCATGGTCCGGTTCCCGGCTGAATGGTCATGTCGGGCACCGATATCGGGGCTCCTATCTCTCGGATTGGGGAAACGGTACCGGTGCGCCCTAATGTCCCGATCCATCCGTTCCGAAGGGGGTTTCTCTGGGCTGGAGGGCTATTGGGCCTCTACTGGTACCACTGTCTGTACTGGTAGAGATCGTGGTTGGCGCGATCTGCGTGATGGTCATCTTCCAAGGTCCGGAGTCCTTTTGCCGGAGAGACGAGCCATTGGAGCGGAGCGGGTTATCCTCCTCCACAATGGTTCGTCGCTTTTCGTAGGAGGGATCCCGGGTGGAGTCTGCATCTCTCGCAAGGACCTATTGGGCCGGTCGCTGGTTTTAAAGTACAGCCAGCTAATGCTCCAAGTCCCGGGTTATCCATGGGTGCATTGGCAAACACGGTGGAGAAGGCGACAGTGACGTCTTCTACACCATGTTAGCGGAATTCTCTTTGGTTTGAAGTCCGGGGATTGAGTCGCGTGGAACGAGTGGTCAGGAGATTCTGCTTCCAGGCCAGCGCGGTCCACATTCGGTCGGTGGGCAGAGCCTATTGGGCTCTAACGGTCCAAGTTACGGAACCGCTATTCCACCGAGGTCCTTCTGCCGGAGGGGCCTGAACAAGGACAACTGTGTTGTGCGCAGTTGTGCTTGTCCGGCCGCTATTCCTGCGACGAATCCCGTGAAAGTGGGTTATCACCTGGGCTCCAGTAGAGGAGTTAAGGCTTCCTTGGCCGCAGAAGTCCAGGCTAGGTTAAGTGGCTGGGAGCCTATTGGGCGCCGAGGTCCAAGTTATGGGACTGGTGTGCCACCGGGGTCCTTCGGCCGGTCGGGCTTAAACAGAGGGACCCAGCAGACTGTGCTGGGTCCCACTGTTTTGTTAATTGTAAATTGTTAATTGTTAATTGTAACCCGAATATTTTATTGACAGGTTAATAAAAGGAGAAAATCAAGCATTTACATGGAATACTGCGCCAGCTGTTATTCAAAATTGTCTCAGTGCTAGTTCGTACCCCCGTTAGCAACCATCAAATAATAGAGTAAAATTTCTAAGTGGTCACATTTGTGCGCTACGATGTGCACGAAATGAGTGTGGGCGTGTGGACTCGCTTGGTGAATACGACTAATTGTGCTGCAGAGCAGCATCTACTGACCGCAGGAGCGCGCCTCTTTGTCGTCAGTGATTGGCTGTGTCAATAATAGCGGCTCCTTTGTGATGCAGAACCGTTTAACAGCCGGCGTATCGTGGAATTCCAGGAATCTTAAATGGTTGCAGCAAACATATAAACCTGTAAATCAGGTTTCATCATCATAATGTGAGTATCACGCACACGTGTAAACCTGACTGCTGTCAAAAAATCATCAAGTTTTACGTATGATTAGAAAAGTCACAAAAATTAATGACTTCTTTCGAATTTCTGCTGATGTGCACAGAAAACAGTTGAAACAAGGATCACTCCATCACATTCATTCAAGAGGACCATCACAAGCTAACACTGCGGCATTGCAAAAAAAATTTTAACAACCTTTCTAGTGTTGCAATTAAAAAACTATTTTCCCTGGAATTTGAGTTAAATTGTGAAATCTTGTTAGATTTTTAAACACGAACCTCTGTTAATTTAATTTTCCTAAAATTTATTTTATTTATCTTGGTTAAAATTTAATTTACCCAGCTAATTTATTTGTCCAGCCGAAGAAGTAAAACAATCATGGATATTCGCATGGGTTTTTTTAAGATGTTAAAGGTATTTCTTCAATGTTAGTTGTATTCAATCTATTCAATTTCAAAGACGAAAGAATTTACGATAGGTGTAGATCAAAGCGGATATTTTTTTACACTGGTGTACTGATTTTAATTAGAGAAATAACAGCAAAATGTTGGTTTATTCAAATGTGCTAATCTAAAAAATACCAAACATTGCATACAAGCTCTGCAAAGAGTAGTCTAAAAAACACAAAATGTAACAGTTTAATAATGGCAAACAAAACAAAAATCAGCAAAACAAAGAGATCCCAGTCTTCTGGTTCAGCATCTAACGGCAAACTTTGTCCCCATGCGGAACCCATGATGCGAAAAGCAATCAGTTCCAAATCTTTCTCATCAATCCGGATGCAAACGTCCTTCCTGGTCACAACAGCGGTTTCACTATCATTAAAAATTTCAATTTCCGTGCCATCCAGAAGGTCGAATTTGGATTTCCACCCGCTTAAATTTATAATCCTTAACCAGCGGAGTAGCCCACGCTTTGAAATCGTCAAAGATACATCCTGCTCATGGAAAGATTTATCTGCAGCCCGCGGGTCCGGCATTGGAGTACACGTTAATTTGCGCTTATCACCATCAAAAACAATGACATCATCCCACGATTGGCACACGAAAACAGATTCCAAATATCTTGACATTTTTTTTGACTTGAATTGTAGTAGTTTTGTGGGCTTATTCCTATATGAATCTCGCTCATAAAGAAGTTACCATAGTTGTGCTAGCTGGCTTATGTTGTGAACTTTTAATGATTAACCACATGGAATACAGGTTTTGAACAAAAAATGCGCACACAGCAAATCTACCAATCCTGAAAACATGGCAAACGAGATAAGCAGCAGTCTAAAAGACAGACTCCCCACATGTTACACAAACTAGGTCACTGGTTAGCGGTCGAAACGCAAAGCGTTGAATTAATATTCCCAGATCACATCGTGCACAACAAGCAGGAAATCCAGCTCCAAACCTCCACGTCCCATTCGCCAGTACACAGAGCTCGGAAGATTCACCATCCAGGAGGTTCGCGAAGATGGCCACAGACAGTTGAATGAAATGAGCGACGAAATGATGAAAATGACAGGGTCCTCCAGGGTTCCCGAGTCCATATCCACGGTTCGCACCCCCACCAAACACGAAGGAAGCCCACACGGAACACCAAAGCACTGCACTAGCTAGGTCACTGGTTAATGGTCGAAACGCAGAGAGTTGAATTACTAACCCCAGTTCACATCGAGCACAGCGCCCAGAAATCCCCCGCAGTCCGCCCCCATGGCCAGCTAAGTTCTCCCCGTGGCCCCAACTCCAGGCCCCGCAGGGCTCCATAAAACAGACAGGGAAACAGTGCGACATCAGATCAACAGTCATGAGTAAGAGCAGTAAAAAGTATCAAGGAATGAGAGATGTGCTGGAAGGCAGGCCCGGCCCGGCACGAAAGCAGTAAATGAAGTGATCCAGTAACGATGGGCTTGTGGCGAACAGTTCCGTGAGATAGTTTGTCCCTGCCAATCTGGTTTGAACCAGAAATGGCAGGGCTAGTAATTTGTTCGAAAATGCTTACCAGAAATAAAATGAATCGTAAGGAAAAACAAGAACTCTAGACAAGTCTGTCTAGAGGAAATGTGGGGTTGCTACAAGGGCTTCAGCGGAGCCGCTTACGCATGTACGAGTTCAGTTGGGTCAGGTGTACGGGTAGTACAGATCCGGGTAGTACGCGTACGGGTAATATTGCCTAGTTCAGGCTATTTAATGCTGCGACGAGTGATGTAATGACGTCATTCTCTGGCTTTCTTTGATTCGGTCTTGAATTAAAGAGAATGTGGCCTGTAGTCGGGATTTATGGTATTTTTGCAGTTCTAATAGAATGTAAAGAATTAGCGACCGTTTATTCAGCTACGCTACACAGGCTCAAATATTGTTCTAAGCAAGATTAATGAGATCTGCGTACCATAGCTCTACTTTCATTTTCCTAAATCATAGTTAGCACTACTAATCTGAAGTACAGTCAGGTACGGCAAGGACTGCCATACAGAAAAATGTCTATATTTTGTTAGCCAGTCAAAAATTGGCACTGAGGTGAATGATGGTGTTGTCTGGAGCATATACGCTGCATATACACTTCATGATGGAAGTTATAAATTTATCTCAACAAATTATTTGTAAAACTTTCACTGTGCACCCAATGAGAAAAAGTATTTAAATATAGCAATTTCATTGTAATTAAACAGCAGATTTATCAGGATTTGTATGGAATGTTCTTTATATTCATAATAAAAAGTTAGAGTAAGCGGTAAAAACACTTAAAAACACAATGAAAGTTCTTCCATTTTAAATGTTTCTGCTAATGTTCCCTCAGATTCTTTCGCTAACCCAGCTATGAGGAGCAGTTTCATCAATGCTTTCCTTGTTTGTGATCCTGATTTATTAAGCAAATGCAATTTAACCAAACATTTCGATGCCTGGCAGAATATGTTGGTTAGTGGCCCTGATGTGAGTTTATTTTAACCGGAATTGCGTACGGGATTCGCATTGTTGAGAACGCGGATGTTATAGATCCTGTTGATTGTGTGAATCATAGAAGTGCAAATGAACCAGCAGCAAAGTGTTACCTCGATAAATTGTTCGCAGAAGAAATTTCACTCGGCAGATCACACAGCAGACCGAAAAACCAAAACGTATTCACGCTATCGGCGCAGTTTCGAAGTCCGGGTGAGATGCCTTTAGACCCGTAACTGATTGTTGACGACCAGCAGGCAATTCGCTAAATCAGCATATGAGCGCAGGCGTACATGCGTACACCCTCGCTTTGGCAGTCTGTTGTGTTTCATTGCGCGCCCGCCTTACGCGTGGCGAAAGCATGGTGTTCTGCGCGCACCCGCACCATGTGGCGGTTACGTGCGCCTTTCATGCGCTTGCTGCAGTCAGTAATGCGAAGTTGCCCATTCGGGAATTCTATCGAATTCAGTCAGTATTTTATAAATTCCTAGCAATCTCGCCCGTTTCTCGCTTTCTGTAGCGTAGGCGCTGTATAGCATTGCCAGGTCTTTTGGCAGGCAGAATCACGTCAATTCTGATCCTGCGGTGTGAACCTTACCAGGTTCCCACCTCATATGGTAGCAAGAGTCGTGTGTTCTCCAGGATAATCTGGGATTTCCCGTCCATTTGACGGAGTGGAAGAAGCATTGTGCGAGGAAGGGCTCGCTGGCGAAGCAGTCGAAGAAGGTGCGAAGGACGCTTGGATCGAACAGCAGATCAGTGCCAGTGTGTCTTTACTGCGTAGAGCACGCTGTACTTTCCTGACGCAGCTGAGGCTACTGCAGTAGCTTCTGCTGGAGGGCCACAAGCGGCGAAAGCACAAGCGCGAGTGCCACAAGCGGCGAAGCCCGAAAGGTGGGCACGAGTCTTGGTGCGCGGGTGTGGAGAATCAGGTGCGCGCTCTACTGCGTAGAGCGCGCACCCAAATACGGCCTCCTCCAAAAAAGGTGGTCGAGTGCCACCCAGCTGCAGCCAACGTCAAGGCACAGCTGAAGACCCGCGGCCACACAGCTTTTGGTCGACACGCCGTCGTGTCCCGTCGAAGCGAGACGGAAGGGGTTAGCGACTGGCCCAGGAGAAGTCAGTATAATCGTTGGAGGAATTGTAGGAACCGCGGAAAGGACGGAGGATCGATTTTCTGGATCGGTCAGGTAGGAAATACGTTATTAAAGACGCCATGGGCGGAAGCGTAAAATTCGCAATTTCTATTGGTAGGTTCTGAACTGAGCGTAAAAGGAGGCGGAACTTTTGCACACGGTGCGCTAGCTGGAAAATTTGATTTTTGACGTGACGTCACGCCTTCCTATAAACAGAAAAACAAAGTTTCTGATTGGTCGATTATTAGCGCTGTGATTGGCACAGCAGCGAAGCTAAAGTTAGCCAGTAAATCAGCCAATAGGAAGCTAAGAATTTGAAAGAAGGCGGAGCATTTGCGCACGGCGCACAAGATCGTGACGTAGCCAGCTAAGAAAAATTTTGAAGTCGACTGACGAGAAGTTGACCTTTACTAAAAATTTCGACGAGATTGATGACCTTTACCAAAAATTGAAAGCTGATGAAACAACGTTTATTTTGAGGAAATCTGAGTTGATTTCTTAGCAAAATCCAAAAATATACTCAGGTTTAACGTTTTTGACCGAAATCGAATAATAAGTTAAATTCTACTAAAGGGAAGTGCCCTTTAAAAGGGACGTAGTCAAATTTTTTCAAGGAAAAAGTGACCTTTAGAAAAGACTTAACTCTTTTTGAGGCAGAGTGACCTTTAGTAAAATCAAGCTGATACGAGAAGTGACCTTTAGGACAGCGTTTGTTTCTGTTTACGCGTAAAGGGGCTTATATAGCTTAAACTAACACACGCGTCAGAAACATTATTAGCATCGTCCAAGTTATCCGATCATCAACGGATTCCAAAGACATGGATAAAGACACAGACGGTAATGAACCGGTCTCATCGGGCAGTCAGAGAAAACGGTCTCGGGGGCTGGAATACCCTTACGAAGTGAAACTGAAGCCGTACACACGGCCGGTGACTCATGAACGAGCAACTCGAGCTCAACTGGCCTTTGAGAGGAAGGACACCAGAGGCTCAGACGCCACATATCAAACGGCTCTGAGGGAAACCCAGAACGAGAGCTCGAGTGACGGAAACGAAGGAAGCTCCAGGCGACATGCCGGAGATAACACGGTAAACTCGTCAAAGGTCACCGATGTGAGAAGGGCCGCAGATGGACAGAATGAAGATGACCTGAAGGCCGAGACCAGAGGAATGACACGGTCGGCCGAGAAAGTCAAAGAGGAAAACGCAGATCAAGCCGAGAAGGGAAATGACGAAGCCAGTCAAAAGGTCATCGAAGGAGGTGGCGTCGTCAACAGCAATGAGCCGTTTAACGAAGAAAAGGTCAAACAAGATGACCTTTGGGACAACCCATTGTTCTCAAAAGAACAGCTGGAAGAAAATGGTACCAGCCCCGCGTCAAGTGAAAAGTTTTACACTGACGATGAGGATGAGACGACAATGCAGATGTCTTTTCACACGGCAATGAAGGAAGCTAATGTAATGAAAGAGATGATGAAAACGACCTTCCACGAAAAGTCGGAAGAGACCTTTGAAGGAACGGCGTCAGGAAGGGCCGACGACCGAGATCAGAGGTCACCATCACCAAAAACTTCCGTTTTAAATGGATTGAAGCAGCGTGTGAAGGACCTCGAGCTGCTATTTGATGAAATAGAGGGGCAAGCATTCGCTGCAGTCCGAGAACAACGGAACAAAACCATTGAAGTTGAAGCAAGACTTTACGTGATGGAACAAGAAAAGGTCACGCTCGAAGAGGAAGCGCAACAATGGAAGGTCAGATATGAAGCTCAGAAACAGTCTGTGGAGGAGCTCAAGAAAAGGGACGAAGAAAGAGAAACGGAAGGAGTTCTCACCGCAGAAGAATACGGTCTTTCCGAAGAATCGGAAGAAAGGTCACAAGAGATAGCAGAATTGAAAAACGAGTGTGACCTTTTGAGACAAAAAGTTCAGGAAGCTGAAACTCAACGTGACGAATGTCTGGCCAATGCGACCAAGATCACAGGAAAGGTCACCAGTCTGACAACAGACATTACAAAACTGAAGGATGACCTTAAGAAGTACGAAGACGAGAATCAAAAGTTACGAATGGAACTGAAAGAAAGAAGAAAGAAACAGGGTGAAGCAGAGACACAGAGAGACCAAGTATCATTAAAGTTTCACGAGATTGTGGAAGACGCAAAAAAGGAAATCAAACGATTGAACGATGAAATCAAAGGTCATAAAGCAGATACACACAAATGGTTGACCGAAGCACAACGAATTGACGAACGGGTCACGGTGCTTGAGGTCGGAAACAGAGAAGGGCAAGTCCTGATCAATAAACAGAAACAAGACATGGCGAAATTAGTAAGTGACCTGCTGGAAATGACAACGTTGGTAATGACGAGAGATGATGAAATTACCACGCTGAAAGGTCAACTGGAGAAGCTCAAAGAAGATAAAGAGGTGTATGAAAAACAAGAGAATGATCGAACCCTCCAGTTTCACGGACAGATGTCAAAGGTCAAGGCAGAGAATGACAGCCTGAAAAAGGAGCGAGATGACCTTTCAGAAAAGAATAAGAGATTTGAGGACCAAAACAACGCACTCAACAACTCGCTGAGACATAAAGATGAACAGCTGAGCCGTTACAAAAAGGATGAAACGGCTAGGGTGGATTCACCACCACCCGGATATGGCACAATCCATACTCAGCAGTTCAGTAGCAGATTCCAAATACCTGAGCGAACAGGAACTGGAAATGGACAAGGCACAGAACCCGTCAAAACGGAGAGCGAAAAAAGGTCAACCGAGCAAGTGAAGGGGCACTCGGGTCCACTCTTTAGTGGACCGTCCAAAACGGACGAAATGACCTTTGACGGTAATTCGAAGCAACACCGAAAAGAGACTCAAGAGGATGACGATGTACGAGCACGCATCCACGAGCATGAAAGGGTTTCTCGAGAAGAGGAACGGCGCGAGAGGGAACATCGCGCCGAATATCAGGCCGAAGCACAGCGATTACGCCGAGAAGAACAAGAATTTAGGGGAATTATGAGAACAATGTCTCGAAAGTCCGAGAAGCCTTACTCGGCTGGATCCGTCAAGTCAAAGAGACTCAAAAACGTATGACCTTTCCGATGCAGCAATGATGCTAGAAGTAGCCAACGCAGTTTGATGCGGAAAGAGAAATTGATGATGAAGAAGAGGCGGAAGAACTAACCGTCGATGAATGGATGACAAAGTTCAAGGAACAATTTGGCGATCGTGACGAAGGGGTCAACGCCTTAAGAGAAGCCATGACAAGAAAATTCGAAGCTGGCAAGGAAACGCTTGACCAGTTCTATCAGGCGATCATGCGCTTCAAGTCGAAACGGATCATAACAGAGAAGCAGGCCATCGGATTTTTGATTCAAGGATGTAAGAACGATGGTGACCTTTATAAGGCACTTCGAGCACAGAAATTCCATAACCCAATGGACATCAAGGAATTCTTCCGCACATGGTCGACTGGCAAAGAAAAGTATAAGGTCACGAGAGGCAACCGGACTCAAGACGACTGCGTCATCGTTCGGTCCGGTCAGATCGAAGAAGTCGCGAATGGGCGACAAAACCAGTCGTGTTCGGCACAGATGCTAAGATATAATACGGAATTCCCGCCCTTAGGCACTCAAGAGGTGACCTTTGGCAACGAACGGAATAAAGGCCAGATATCGTACGCGACGATCGCGGCGATACAGACGGCGGTTCAAGAAGTGACCAAGCCCGCGATTGCAGCGATCCAGGCGTCAGCCCAGCAGACGGCCCGGCCAGCGCAAAACCCGCAAAGGAACAGTCAAGGGAATGCCCTGAATGGAGGGCTCGGTGGTCAAGGAATGGCTCAGGCGAATCCGGGCTTTACCGGCCAGGTATTCAACGGCGGCGGAGGAAACCAAGGAAATTTCCGACCAAACCGTGGACAAGGAAATCAAGGACCACGATGCGGGTCGCGGGTAGAGCGCCTGTTCACCATGATTGACGGATGGGCTGCAAATAATGCTCTGACATGCCAGAATTGCATGTACGGCAATCACCACACGCAAGCGTGCTCATTCGCGGGAACACCGTGGAATCAAATCCCCAATCGGGTTGTATACGAAGAATGGCTGATGCTGCGCAACAATCACGGCGGATGGCGCAATGCGATGGCAAATGGATACGTGCCACAATCACGCCAAGGCGGACGGTATGCTGGTCAAGGTGGCCAAGGGAACTTCGCTGGTCAAGGTGGCCAGTGGAACAATGGGGGTCAAGGTGGCCAGGGTAATTTCGGCGGCCAAGGAAACTTCGGCGGTGGTCAAGGTGGCCAAGGAAACTTCGCCGGAGGCCAAGGTAACTTCGCTGGTCAAGGTGGCCAAGGCGGAGGAAACGGTGGATACGGCCCGGCTCGCGGAGGCTTCCGAGGAAGAGGCCGTGGCCGTGGCGGCAATCGCGGCAATTATGGCGGCGGCCAATGGAACAATGGCGGTGGTCAAGGTGGCCAATGGAATGGTGCTGGTCAAGGTGGCCAATGGAATGGTGGTGGTCAAGGAGGCCAGTGGAATAACGGTGGTCAAGGTGGCCAGAATTTTGCCGGTCAAGGTGGCCAGGGCAACTTCGCCGGTCAAGGTGGCCAGGGCGATTACGGCGGGCAGGAAGGCGGCTTCGTCGGTGGAAACCAGAACGGTTTCGGTCAGCCAGGCTGAGGATTAAACTTCGCCCCGGCGAATGGTGCCGGTCAGGCGCAAGGTGCGCCGGTGCAGGGGATGGTCCAAGGAAACGTACAAGGCCAGTAGACGCCGGTGAGCCTACTGATCGTCCGGAACCGAAACCACCGGATATAGAGGAGCAATGTGCTCCGCTGGAGGCAAGGACCGCAGCGAGAAACGGATGCTGCGAAAGTAACGCAAAGACCCGGAAAAGAAATCCGAGGATTCGAGAAAGTAACTCGAAATCGAGCGAAGGGGCTCGCAAAGGTCAAGAGAAGGGTTTAAAAAGATTGCCGCAAGGACGGAAGAGTTTGACTGAAAGGTCACCGCAGAAAGCAACTGCGGAAAGTCAAGAAAGTAACTTGACTCA